AGTGGGGGCACGGCCCATCACTTCTTCCAACGCGGTGAAGAGAGGGGCTTCATCTGCCATTCCTGGTTGGTACGCTGACACAAATGCCAGCTTGCCCAACGTGTCAATGCCATTGTCAACCAGAAGAGCCGTGGCGGCTTCCGGTAAACCATAGGCCTTGGCTTTGTCCCTCAGAACGGCCTCCGACTCCAGACCCACTCCTGCCATGGCTTCGACCTGGAACCGAAGAAGAGTACCTAGCAGGACACGAAAAGTGAAGCATGAATGCAATGCGGAATAATCTAAGTTGCATCACTGAAAGGTGCGGCTGATGTCGAGCCCTGCAAGACTGGTGCGCGCGCCGTTGGAATAGTCAACATGCTGATGCCCGAAAGACTGATGCATGCGACCTCACTCGGAAGCTAGATGCCTCGGATTGTTTTCCTTTCGGAATAGCGGTTGCGGCTGAGTGGCCGCTAAGGTTTCGCCCTCTGGACGATAAGTGGGCTCAGATGCCCAAACATTGACTGCACTGTGGATGGAGGTCCGGAAGGATGTCCCCCTCGAGTGCTACGTAGTTGCTGTTGAGGACTCTTCCGCACTTAAGGCGCTCCTCTGAAATCTTAAAATGCAAAATGCCTGAAAGGACATGCCTTACGATCTCCTCGTCTGGGGCCACTGGCTGTGGCAGGCCCGGGAGGTCGGAGCTCAGCTCGTCCGGCTCGTCCTCCAGGTCTTCGGAGGCGCAATCTTCCGATCCTACTTCGGACACCGGCTCATCGCCTTCGACCACCGTGTGGCGGTCCAAAGTCTCGCCTTGCTCCACCAGGGCCTTCAAGCGCATGACTCTAGAGAGGTCCGGGTCGAGAACTCCTGCGCGGATGAGGTGAAGGACGCCGAAAACCAAGGCAGCCAGTCGCGTGCATTCATCTCGAGAGTAGCACAAAGGAGAAGCAGCATTCTTATCAACATGGTGGCCAATAAGACGGCGATCCTGCAAACTCACCTTTGCACTTTTCGAGCACCAGCTAAGCAGGGTGCTTTTCAAGCTGTGGCTGGAGACTTTCCAGCACTCTGACGGATCTATGCCACCGTTCGCCAGGATTTCGCGAAGACAAAAGCTAGCCTCACCTGTACTCAGCTCCCGGTTGAGAAACTTGCCTGTGTTCCAGGAGTAGGCAGGTAGGGCCCACCCGCAGTTGGGAGGCAAAACCTCTCGGGCTTCCTCCCAGCCATAAGCCCAAGGATAATCAGTCTCCAAGCCGATGCCCAGAGCAAGGAGCGGCAGGAAGGTGGTCTTCTTCTCCTGGCTGGTAGCAGTCTTGTAAGACCTGGTGGCAGTCTCAACGAGGACGATAGGGCCGCCCTCAGAAACCTGGATCTTTTCCAGAGCTTGCGAATCCCCAAAGCGGCAGCAGGCGTAGAGGCAAAAGCAGAGGTGGCCCGCAACCAAAGTCAGGTAACTTCCATCCCTGAGGCACGCCGTCTGCTCCAGAACCCGAACCATTTCTACAGTGAGCGGAGGTGCCTGCTTGAGGCATCGCTTGCCCTCGAACATAGACCGGGCGGCCCCTCGCACGCGAGAGGACAAGAGAAAATCCACGCTCGGCTCCTTAACCCGAGCTACCTTGTATAAGTAGCTGAGTGCCTGAAGAAAGGTGGAAGCAGCTGTAGCTCCGCACTTGCTGTCTCGAAGGTGACAGATGTACCTGTACGCCAGCGTCTCAGTAGGCCGAAGAGGTGTGCCGACCTTGTTGCTGGTGACCCATTTGGCAAACCTCCAGTAGGCTGCGGAGTACTTTACCAAGGTTCCAGTCGCACGCCCAGCAAAGGCGTCTACCACGACCATGGAGGCTTCGTTGTCGCCTCCCATCTGCAAGGAGATCTCCCATAGAGTCTCACCCAAGACACTGGCCGTGGGCTCCGAAATCAAAAGAACTCGGAAGCGCTGCAGAGCCTTGAGGCGAAGCTCGTCGTCGGATTTAATGCTGGTGGCGTAGTACGCCCTCATAGCTGCGAACTCGTGCCCCGCCCGAGGCTCCTGCTTTGGAGGCGAAGCAACCAACGTCTGCAGATGGAAGTCCTTGGAACCCACACGTGTGGGCTGCAAGGGTCTTGGCTTAGCCGCACCGAAAACCATTGCCATAGGCCCCTTCTCCCAAGGAAGGAGAGGCCGAGCAGCAAAACAAAGCAACGAGAGAAGAAAAAACATCCAATTTCCAATTCTAG